TTTTGGCCTAGTCAGTATCTATTCCAATGAAAGTTTATTAGTCAATTCAAAGCTTACAATAAAGATTTATGAGTCCAATCAAGATTTTATGATATATTTGTGCTTTTGTGTTATCGGAACTTAGAAACCAGATGCGTTTTTGTGTTGAAAGACTTGTTGAATTTTTGAGAAATATTGAATGACTCAAAGGTGGCGGAATATAATATAACTCCCTCGACCGATTGAAGAATTTTCAAAAAGTGGAATTCGAAGTAAAATTGATGGAGCTTGAATTGATCAACGAAAATGAATGCTAGAAGGACGATACCGTATTTACTCGATTAATTCCCCATCCTCAAATAATTCCCCTCTCTCTATTAATTCCCCATGCCAGAGATGAGTTGAAAAAATAATCCCCCTTCCCCAAATACCCTAATAGGGACACGCCCAAGTAGGCGCGCGGCCAGGGCGCGCGGCCAGGAAGCCATAACTACCTGCAAAATTTTCTGGACCTTAAAAATTTTGGTACCAATCTCTTTAGCTCGATGAGAGGAATCGTTTAATGCTAAATTTTGAAAGATTCGAATCTCTTGGAGCAGGTTATGGCTTTGCGCCTACCTGGCCGCGCGCCTACTTGGGCTGTACCCCCTACTAACCGTTGGAATTTCTAAACTCTAATAATTCCCCTCGCTTGAATCATTCCCCATGCCACGGATGGGTTGAAAAAAATAATTCCCCAGTGGAATTAATCAAGTATATACAGTATACCTACTTTTTTCTCATACATAGTTGGTTGTCCGGAGATACCCTGAGACGAAGCAAAGATTTGAAAAAGGTTTTGATTAGTTTTTGATTAGACTCATAAACCTCTATGGTACGAACCTTCATTGAACTAATACACCTTATTTGGACTTTAAAACTTTCAGCAATAATTTTCAGGCAGAAAATGAATTTGAAAGCTTGTATATTTATCTAACAAGATGGAATGGTTCGGAGTTAATTAAGGAGAAACCGGAAAGGTGAAACAATTACAAATTGTTTTAGACAAAAATTATTTTTTAATTAAGCATCAGCGTTGAAAATATTTTATCTGAGCAAATAGCGGAAATTTGGTCTGAATCGGAAGTTAACAGCGGAATTTTTATCCATTTTGTTACAAACAGCACTCATAATCATAGTGAATTTGAAATAAGATTTATTCGAAAATTTGGAGATAAGTTTTTTTGATTGGATTTTGTGATGTAATTAGGGACCTAATTAAGGCAAAGTGACTTTTCTATTCAAAGTTTATTCCATCAATTCGTATACTTCATTTCCGTATACACACAAACCTCCCAAAAGCCGAAACTTTGACTGGCCATAACTAGGCCATAAGTCACTGAAAAAACCCTTTTCAGATTTTTTCGAACCTATTTTGCCACATAAAAAACCAAAATAAGAGTCGATCTCTCAATTTTTCGGACTTAAAATGTAAGACTTTAGTTATGAGCAAGTACCCTTTTGTTCATGTTCCAGTAGAAACGATTTTGCCGTTCTCTACATTTTATTAAAAATTTTTTTCAAACAATAGTACTTATCAGCCATGCCCACAACCTTTTTATTTTGCAATCAATTCGCCTCAATATCTGCCAATATTACCTCTAAAATACAAACAGACATGCCTCTTCTCTATAAATTCTACAAAACCAATAAAACTTAAAATCAACCGTGACAACAAAACAAAGTTTGGAGTTAAGGTACTAATTCATGACTGTCAATGGTCATGTTTGTTTCAAAAATTCTGTCTGTTTCGATCTCTGGTTTTCCTTAAAATCCTAAAGTTCTCGAAAAAAGTTGAAAGTTTTTTGGGGAGAAAGTAGTGCTCAGTTGGCCCTTTACTTTAGGCGCTCAGAGTGAGTCTCTCTCTTCTTCAATATTTTACTGCACAAGAGCCTCACTCGCTTTATTTTGATTTGTGGGGGACAAATTTTCCGGGTAACCTAAACCTTGAATTTATTCTATGGGTCCTTAACGTTGCTAACTTATCTATAAAAAAATTTGAATATTTGTAAGGTTTTTGAAAATGGCAGTTCTTCTGATCTAAATGAGAAAGATCAAAAAGGACAATTGTTGGCAAAGTTTTAATAATAAAAAAGTTAAACAATCATTTAAATTTCTTAGAATTGAAGACTGGAAAGATCCTTTTCTTTGGTTGAAAAAATTTCCTTTAATTTTAATTATAACAAGTAGAACTAAATCTGTGAGTGTATTAATTAGTTCATATGATCAAGAACATAGTATTTTTCCGTATAAAATTGAATATGTTGCTGTTGAACGTATGTTATCATTTAAGTTATTTAGCCCAATATTTTTTGTCTAGAAACATTTCGGCTCTCACTTAATTCTAATGTCCTTAAATCTTTCTAATCCATCTATATTATTTTTAAACATCTCAAATCCTCTGGTATTTTTCTTAATCCCCGCAAATCCATTTTATACCTGTTAATCCGCAAATATCCTCTTAAGATCTTTAATTTCGCGGGATATATGTATGCGGGATATCAGATGATTGTGAGTAGGAATCCCATGACATTCTTAAGCTTAATCGGGAATATCAGGAATTTGAGGAGAGGGATTTTGAAATTCCAAAAACTGAAATTTTGGAAGGTCAAGAAGCCAGATTTCTATTTGTTCTAGCGCCGCAGGCAAATATTTTCGATATTTGATAGGCTTAAAAGCCAGATTTCTTTACTTTTGAGCTCCACCGGTGAAACTTTGAAAATTTTTGAAGTCCAGATTTGAAGTACAAATTCTTCAAATTTCCCAGTACCGAAAAATCGGTACTACCGCGGTATTGGAAACCTCTTCGGTTCCGTACCGGTATCGGTAGTACCGAAAAGTACCTATTCGGTACTTTTCGGTAGTAACGCGGTAGTACCGAACCGTGCCGAACACTAATTTTAAGGAGATATCGAGGGATTTGGGAGGATAAAGAGGGGGGGGGCTTGAGGAGCGAAACGCACGGCATGAAATGAAGTGTACCGCTTTAATTTCATGTGACGCATAAATTTGTTTAACACGCATATCCTCAACAAGAGCCTCTAGTATTTTTAAATAAACATCTAAATTTTTTTCAGCATGTCAATGCTTTCCAAGTAATTTGACAGTCAGTCGAGATCAACCATTATCTCTACTCTCACAAGGCTTTCCGTCAGGATATTGTGGCAATTTTACTTGTTCAACACAAATTTCTTTAGAAAATCCACTCAATACAAGCGACTATGTGGAATCTCTTCAAATTCAATTTAATTCCTTCCAGACTGATTCCAAAACAGAGCCTTTAAATTTACAAATACCTTTTGGTGATGAAAATAAAGAGCTTATACCGTATGCTTTTATGATGACTCTTGGAGTGTCTCAGTTAGAATAAGAGCGGATATTAGGGATTTATGGTGATTAATGTGGATTTGAAAGGAAAATCCATATCAGAGGATTAGGATGGACATTAAAGGATTGTGGTGATCTGGATGGATCAAGAGGATTAGGGTTGCCGTTTTCGAGTTGGGCCGACGTTCGAGGCATTTTTTCAGGATTGTTTTTATCGAGTCGATCGTCGCGAGTCATTTTCGGACCAAACTTCTAGGCCCGACTCGATCTTTCGTTCTGAGTCTGTCCATTTTGGCAACACTAAAGAGGATATAAGGGGATTTGGTTTGGTAATCCAGAATTCATTCATATAACTACTAAAGTATATACTAAAAATTATTTATTTAAGTTTTGGAGGTGATGCACAAAATATAAAATTTTTTACTTTTGATTCACCAAAATTTAATTTAAATTTTACTACTAAAATTGTACAAGTTGTTGCAGGATTTAATTTTACAATTAAACGTATTAAAAGAAATAAGGGTAAAAAATATTTTAAAAATAATTTAAAAAATATTCGAAGAATGTTTATGTCATGGAACTGATAGCAATCTAAAAATTTTGAATGGACAAAAGGATTTGGTAGAATATACTTTTGATGGTGAAAGATGCACTTTCATGGACTGTTTTTGGGAAATTCAACCTCCAAATGTTTGTTAAACACAATCAGAAATTAAAATACTTAAGTATTTGACTTATTTCGAAGTGATTTCGAAGAAATTTTGTACAGATATCTGAAATAGGGTTATCTAACCCCTTTTAAATTTCAAAATTTTTGGTTGAATACTTCAGAAATTGTGGTGTTTAGAACTCGGAAATTTTGAAAAGCCTGGGCCTGTTCCTGGGTTCCGGGTTTGATTTATTGACCTGAGCCGGATCCTCGGCCTGTAGTCCAGGAAAAACCCAGGCCCAGGAAGGCCAAATAATGCCTGGGTCTAGATTCTGGAGACAGGAAAAACGCAGGCCTGGGTCCAGACCCAGGCCGATCTCTAAACCTTTTTCGACTTTATCATATTACTTAATGAGTGGCCTACTGTATTTCAGGACTCAAAAATTTACAGACGTCTTATTGTCAAATTTAATCTTTCTCATGTTGATGATGGAAATATTTTTACTTTTTGTTACAAAATTCAAGCATCTCGTGGCTGTTCAAAGTATCTTTTATGTCTAAACTACATGGGAATGCCGAACAGATTTTAGCAGACGAAAAACGAAAGTCGAAACGCCAAAAAGGCGAAAATTCAGCGAAAACGAAAGGAGAAAAGGCACACACCCCAAGGCACCATCTAATCTTCATTTTGGAAAGTAACCCATCTTTGAGTTGGTTGTCTTATTGAATTGGGCTTATACCTAGAGTTGAGACCCAGACCGGATCCGGTTAGGATTTTCCGGATTCTGTAGTCCGAAATCCTGGTATTTTGATGCAACCGAATTTCCGGATTTTTCCCTACAATTCCCTACAACAGAATTTTCTAGTATAGCGTCAATAAATTTATTTTATCTTCAGGAGTGATTCAAGAAACATTATTAATTCTAAACATCGAGAAAAACCTCAATTTTTTGTTTATGAAATTCCTAGAAATATTCTTGAACGAGAAGATTCTGTGCGTGTTTGGTATCATCGTGAATCTGCAGAAATGATTAAAAATCCGAATATTCCAAGACAAATTGATATTAATTATGAATGGATAGAACGTATCAATTAATTATTTATTAGGATAACTATCATAATTTCAACTAATAATTAGGGCCCGGATTTTTAAGTTGTAAAAACCTTAGAATAAGTACCCAATAATGCATACCGTAAATGTCCTAATAGAAGCCCTGGGCGTCTATTTTTCAATGGGTCCCATTGGGTGGGCTTCTAATGGAGCATGAGCTTCTATAAGGGCATGGGCGTTTATTCTTCAATATCATTATTTTAGAAATCAGAAATTTAAAATGCCTTGACATTGATTTTGTTCGATAACCTTGACCAGATTTCTTACTTTGAATCTAGGAAAAATCAAGGATATGGAAACATCAAGATCATTTTGCCTAGAATCCCGATAATCCCTCATTATTTATCTAAATCCTTCTATATTAATTTTCAATTATTGGAATTTCGTTATCAATACTTTTAGTCGACTAATACAAAGGTAATAGAAAATAGACATTCATAAAACAGATGGGCTTGTAATAGGGCATGGGCTTCTATTGGAGCCGGGCTTCTATTGGAACATTTACGGTATATATATGTACCTAAATAGGGTACATCGATGCATACATATTTTGGGAAATTTTGCATATTTTGACAGTCTTAGATAAAAAATAGAGGTAGATTTGTATAAATAGGACTAGATTTGTATAAAATAATTTATTATAGATAAAAAATTAGATGATGGAGAGACTTAACAACGGATTGGAAAGATAATTTGAAAATTCACATGATTTTACAAAGAATTTTAATTTTGAATAATTATGATTTTAAATAAAATTTTCAAGAAGTTCAAGTTTATTATCATTAGTTTATGCTTTAATAATTACCCTTACTCTATAATTACTCTCCCCTGTATCAATTTCCCCTCCAGTGAAAGAAGGAAACAATAAATACCTAGGGTAATTAGTTGAGCTGAATACGGAATTTCAAACTTTTAAAAAAAGATATACCATATTATCTCTGAATGACACTCTCTTTTAAAGATAAAATTTTTCCAAAATAAAAAGATATTCAATCCAAGGTAATTTCTACTAACTACTTATATTTCTCTCCATTGGAATATTATTGAACTATTGCAAATAAAAATATCCGCAAATCTTCGTATCAGTTCCTAAAAAGAAAAAATATGGCTCCTTGGTCTTCTAAAATTCTCAAAAGTGGATTTGAGTATAGAAAGCATTTTTTCATTTTATTTTAATGAAAATTAAAATTTTATCATATGTTTCCTTGCTCAAGGAGAAGGAGCATTAATATGGGTGAATTTCTTTTCCCATCTGTGTTAAATAGAAATACAGCACATCAATTTGGTCGTATAGTTTATTATATTTCCTGTTGCGTCTAAAATTAATTTAAATATTAGATTAGGAAATTGATACGAACCATCAAAACAAATATTTTCAGTTCTATGTTCCCCCATATGTGGCCGACTTGTTCAAATATGTATTCGTTGTTAAAGTGCTCTAGGGTCACAACAAATATTCTTTATCCTTAAAAAAATTATAGATCCTAGTGGAATATTAAAAGAATGAAGCAATATGATGAAGCAATAGCATGAGATGCAGCCAGCCAAGGAAGTTAATTATGAACTCTATATAAATGTTATCTCTGAAAGTCAGTTCTGATATCTGCCAAGTTCTTAATATATATTTTTTCAATTATTTTTAAATAAAATTGAAAATTTAGGGAAGCAACGAATCACATCTTAACAAAAAAAGTAAAGTGATAGATAACTCAGCTAATATTTCTAATCAAGCAAACAAACATAAATCAGGATTTGTAGTTCCTGAGAACGTTCTGGATCGAAGCAAAGGGAAACAATTAGAGTCGACTGGTAAACGGCAAATGCTGGAGATATCTCGAGGGATAAATGCTGCAGATATCTCTCAAAATGCTGGAGATATCTCGAGGATCAAGGATCTCTATCTAAAATCAATTCCCTATCAAAAAAATTATCATAAATTTAGCTCAATTAAATTTAGCTCGAATAAGTAAAAATTCCAATCTTCTAATTGTTTCGCTGATGCCCACTAACAAAAATTACTTTATTACCACTAAAAAATATTTCAAAAGTTTAAAAATCTTTTATTTTTTAAATAATTTTTTTTTCATTCAATCATACATATTTAATCAAGATAACACTTTATTTATACGAAAATTTTTTTCGTTTGTTTATTTTTTAATAAACAATTATAATAGCCATTTAATGAACAGACGATTTTTGTTATTTAATATGCTTATTTTTTGTTATTATCTTTAATATTATAGCTAGAGTATGAACCAAGACACGAATTGTATCAAAAATACCTTTTACGCGATCGAAATTTTTCGAGATATCGGTCTAGATTCTCATACGACCCCCAAGTTATGTATCTAATTATAAGTAGAGTCTAGACGGTACTACAATACCAACCGTAGTACGACTTGCAGACCGACATTTGCGGATGCCGACAGATACAGTATCTGGATCAGGGGTGGGCGCATTGCGTTTTGCGTTTTGCGTTTTTTGCGTTTTGCGTTGATTTTTGGCCTTGCGTTGCGTTTTGCGTTTTGCGTAAATTTGGCCAAAATTAACGCAAAAAATCGCAAGAAATATACCCAATCTGAGGGCAAAATCTGAAGGAAATCAGGCTTATGACTTTCCAAAATTCTCAAAATTTTCGCCTGCGGCGCTTAAAAAAGGAAGAAATTTGGCTTCTTGGTCCCAAATTTTTCAAAATTTTCGCCTGCGGCGCTAAAAGTAGATCATGGAACTGTCAGAAAAATATCAGTTCAATATCTTGAGCTCCGATCTCCCTTTATCCCTCCAAATCCGCTGATATCCGCGGTATCAATTGAGAATTACAGAGAGGCATTTATCCTCCTATCTCCCCAACCCATCCGACATTCATCAGTAATCGCATGGTATCTTTTTAAATTTCCTTGATCCCTCCAATTTTCCTCGATCCCTCCTTCATAATCGCTCTAAATCCTCTAATATCCTTCATAATCCCATTGTATCCCCTTCAAATCATTACCCATCCAACTTAATTGTATCACAAGATCAACTAGGACTCACTGACTTATAGTAATACTTCTATTTTAACTGAAAAATGGCTAATACTCGATTTAAAAATTTTTTTTCAGAATTTTGCGTTCTTGCGTTTTGCGTTTTGCGTTGATTTTTGGCCTTGCGTTGCGTTTTGCGTTTTTCACGATTGCCTCTTGCGCCCACCCCTAATCTGGATATCCGAAAATTTTTAGATTTGATACCTTAATCGTAGTACTTTTTAGAAATGCTTTACTATAAGCTAACATTTATTTTGCTTCTACAGTTATTTATTTCCATATCTGCCGAATCTTCTAATATCAAGAATGATGGTTCCTGTCCTAAAGAAAAAATTTTTGATAGTAATGTAAAACGGGGTGTAATTAAAAGCCCTGGATGTGAGTACTGGAATAATCTTTTATGAGTATTTTTCTATCATAGACCTCGTCGAAGGCAGTGATTTACTTGATTGTAAATGGAACATTCTACCAGCAGAAAATACCTTTATTTTTTTTGAATTTAATTTATTTAAGGTGATTCGATTTAGTTTAGCATGTAGCCCAATGAAAGTTTATTAGTCAATTCAAAGTTTACAAGTCTATTGCAGGTTTTCAAATCAACTAAATGTCCAAACAAATTGCCACCATTCTTTATTTGGTTACGGAATTTTGGTCACCACGATTTTTCGGAACTTTGGTCACCAATTTTTCTGGAATTTTGGTCACCAGCGGAATTTTGGTCACCAAGTCAAAAAAAGGAATATTGGGCACTGAAATTTTGGTCACCAAACGGAAAAAAATAATCTTAACTAAAATTAATATCAAAGTGATGGAAAATGATTTTTCAACCCCCATTTGATCAATTTCAATGTTTGTCAATTTCCCGGATGATCACTCTCTCGGTTGATCACTCTCGATCACTCTCCCGGAAAATTGATTAACCGTCAGAGTGATAAACATCTTAAAAAAATAAATAGAAAAAATTTCTTTAGGTTTTTGATAATGAAACTTCTTCTGGTCTTAATGAGAAAGATCAAAAAGGACAATTGTTGGCAAAGTTTACCACTAAAAAATTGAACAATCATTTAAATTTTTTAGTATTGAAGGCGCGAATTCCCCTTTTCAATCATCTAGATTTCCTTTAATTATAACAAGTAGAAAATCTGTGAGTGTATTAATTAGCTCATCTGATCAAGAACATAGTAAAGTTCCTTATACAATTGAATATGTTGCTGTTGAACGTATGTTATCATTTAAGTTATTTAGAAAAATATTTTCTGGTTAGAAACATTTTCGGCTCCGGCGAGAAGATGCGCCCTCCACCAAATGCCCCCCAGAACAAAAACCAACTCAAAATGTCTTAGCCCAAAAATGTCCCATCTCAATAAAACAGAGTAAAAGTACTCAGTTAGCCGAACTATAAATTAAAGTGAGGTTAACCCACTTGACTACAAGGTATCTTTGGAAATCATAAATTTTGTCAGTTTCATATTAATATACTTTAAGATGTTTTTTTTTGAGAAAAATACTTAAGGTGGATATAGATGGATTGGATGATCTTAACAAGATATTGAGGGATTTGGGTGGATAAAGAGGGAGGGGCATGAGGAGTGAAACGCACGGACTGAAATAAGGCGTACTGATAATGTGTTTAGCACATATCCTCAACTAGAGTCTCTTTATATTATTCCTAAATAATAATTAAAATTTTTTTCAGCTTGTAAATGCTTTCCAAATAATTTGACGGTCACTCGAGATCAGCCATTAAATTTACTCTCACAAGGCTTTCCGTCAGGATATTGTGGCAGTCTTAATTGTTTAACACAAATTTCTTTAGAAAATCCACTCAATACAAGCGACTATGTGGAATCTATACAAATTCAATTAAATTCTTTCCAGACTGATTCCAATACGGAGCCATTAAGTTTACAAATACCTGTTGGTGATCTAAATAAAGAGCTTATATCGTAAGCTTTTATGATGACTTTTGGACTTTGAATTTTTAACCTTGACTTTTTGACCGTTATTATTAGAATAAGAGCTGATATTAAGGGATTTATTGTGATTAATGTGGATTTGAAAGGATAACGGCCATATCAGAGGATTTGTATGGTCATTGGGGGATTATGGAGATCTGGATGGATTAAGAGGATATAAGGGGATTTGGATTGAATATAAGGGGATTTGGAGTGGATATAATAAGGAGATTTGGTGGATAAAGGGGACTTGGAGTGGATATAGGGAGGTTTGGAGGATATAAGGATTTGGAGACAAGAAGATATAAGGGGATTTGAGTGGAAATACGTAAAGAATCTAGAATTTATTCGTATAGCTATTAATGTATATACAGTAAGAGCGAGGTAAAAGTTTAATCCCGGCCAGGCTTCGATCCTGCGACCTCCTGGCAGTTATTGCTAGGCTCTACCAACTGAGCTACCGGGACTCTCCTTTCACCTTCTCTTTTAATAGATCATAAACCCCCGCCTAGTGAGCGTTTTAAATGCTAACCAGCTGGATCTTTTCTCTCTTTCTCTTCCTTACAATACTAAAAATTATTTATTTAAGTTTTGGAGGTGATGCACAAAAAATAAAATTTTTTACTATTGATTCACCAAAATTTATTTTAAATTTTAATACTAAAACTGTACAAAATGTTGCGGGATTTAATTTTACAATTAAACGTATTAAAAGGGATAAGGGTAAAAAATATGTTAAAAATTTATGTTAAAAAATTTTTCGAAGAATGTTTATGTCATGGAACTGATAGCATTCTAAAAATTTTGAATGAACAAAAGGATTTAGTAGAATATAATTTCGATGGTGAAAGATGCCAATTTATGGACTGTTTCTGGGAAATTCAACCTCCAAATGTTTGTTAAACAAAATCAGAAATTAAAATGCAAAATTACTAGGGTTTCACCGGAAGTTCCGGTTCCGGTTCCGGAAAGTTCCGCCCTTTTTTTGTTCCGGTTCCGGGAACCGGAACTCAAATTGGATCCGGTTTCGGTCAAAATTTCTAATAAGTACCACATTTCTTTAAATAGAGCCCCACACTCTATTACAGCCCCACCTTGCAGGATAGTTAAAAAATAGAGCCCCATGAGGCTGTACATATTTGAAGAAATGCGGTATTTGATTTAAAGGCTTATTATTTCGAAGAAATTTTGTGCAGATTCTGCAAAAGGGTTATCTAACCTCTTTTAAAATTTCAGAATTTTTGGTTAAATATTTCAGAAATTATGGGCATTAAATATCAGTAAATCTATGTTCTTCTAGAAAATTGGAAATTTTTTCCAGACATTTGAGATATCTAACCAAAATTCTGAAATTTTAAGAGGGGATAGGTAGCACAAAATATTTATGCCAAAATTTGACAATTTTATTACCCCTTTCGACTTTTCATTACTTAATGAGTACTGTATTTCAGGACTCAAAAATTTACGAACGTCTTATTGTCAAATACAATTTTTCTCATGTTGATGATGGAGATATTTTTAATGTTTGTAACGAAATTGAAGGATCTCATGGCTGTTGGAAGTAGCTTTTCTAAACTGCATGGGGTGTGCCGAAACAGATTTTAACATGCGAGAAACGAAAGTCGAAACGCCAGAAAGCGAAAATTCTACGAAAAATAAAAGGAGAAAAGGCACACCCCAAGGCACCATCTAATCTTGATTATCGATAGTACCTATTAGTATTGTTGGCGGTCGATTAACCGAACCGAAGACCAGTGTTTTTGGCCAATAAACCGAAAACCGTTGGTCAAAAACCGGCTATAACCGAAAACCGAGGGTACCAGTTTTAAGGGTACCGGTTTCCCCAGTACCTCCTAGTACCCATCTTTGGGGTTGTTGTCTTAATGAACCTTAATTTGACGTATTAGATTGGGCTTTTACCCATGGTGTTTATATTATTCCATCTATGATATCTTACAATGTAATTTTCTATAACATTTTATTTTCAGATATAATTCAACAAGTCTTATTGGTTCTAAACATCGAGAAGCTCATTTTTTTATTAATGATGTTTCTAGATTTATTCTTAAACGAGATGCTTCTGTACGTATTTGGTATCATCGTGAATCTGTAGAAATGCTTAAAAATCCGAATATTCCAAGACAAATTGATATTAATTATGAGTGGATAGAACGTATCAATTAATTATTTATTAGGATAACTATCAAAATTCAAGTAATAATTAGGGCCCGGAATTTTAGGCAGTAAAAAACCTTAAATAAGTACCTATATAGATTGTATCAAAATAGGCAATCCAAAACAAGCAATGTTTTGTATGCGGTAGTGATGCTCGGGTATTCTGATCCCGACTCCTGACTCGGGAAAATTTCCCGACTTTCTGGCCTCCCGATCCCGACTCACGATCACGACTCCGAGGCCATTTCCCGACCCGACTCCCGTTTCCCGGGTTTTTTCTTCTCCCGAGCATCACTAGTATGCGGATATGCCTAGAATTGAGAAGCCTAAACTATGGTCCGAGTATTTTAGGACCCAGTAATTACTGCATACATTTGCATATTTCGACACTCTCAAGCATATTTGTACATTGGTGCATATTTTGGGAAATTTTCCTATTTTGGCAAACATAAATAAAAAATTAGGCACTAGATTTACTATTGTAAGGAAGAAAAAGATCCAGCTGGCTAGCATTTAAAACGCTCACTAGGCGGGGTTTAAGATCTATTAAAAGAGAAGGTGAAAGAAGCGTCCCGGTAGCTCAGTTGGTAGAGCACCTGTGCGTGGTGAGCGAAAGCGCCTAGCAATAACTGCCATGAGGTCGCAGGATCGAAGCCTGCCCGGGATTAAACTTTTACCTTGCTCTTACTCTATTAATTAAATAATTTATTTTAATCATAAAATTAGATAAACATCCTATATTGCTTAAAACGTCCGTTGTTAATTTCGTGCTTTATTGCTTGAAAGTGTTGGGAAGCTGAACGTAAAGCTGCACATAATAGTAATGAACGAACATTACAAAAGATTGGAAAGATTTTTAAAAATTCACATGATTTTACAACAAATTTTAATTTCAAATAATTATGATTTTCAATAAATTTTAAACCAGTTCAATTTTATTCTGACTAGTTTATGATAAAATAATTATACTTCCACAGATAATTACTTCCGCCTTCATCAATTTCCCCTCCAGCTAAAGCCTAAAACAATAATTACCTAGGGTAATTGTTGAATGAATAAGGTATTTCAAAAAAGAATTTTAAAACCAACAGGTAGAGACAATGCTTTTAATCATTTTCAATGAGCTAAGCTCATTTTTTAAATTTACACCCGATTGAATATTAAAGTTTAAATCTTTGTAATAATTTTTTATTTTTATTTTTTTTAATTTTAATTTAATTAAAATAATTATAATATATTATATAGAAAAGAAAAAAAAACAAAATTAAAAAGGAAAGTTATTAAAAAAATTTTTTTTCATAGAAATTGTTAGCATTTTGAATGTAATCTCTTTAATTCAGCTACTTTTTCTAGACGTTCTAACATTAATTGTATACACATATTTTTAACAGTTTAGTAGAACAATGCATTCCAGGACAACAAAGTTGTTCATTTTTCGCACAACTTTTACCAAATTCAATACAATAACAAGTTGCTATACTATTCTTTTGCCATATACAACTGATACCATTACAGCAATCAATTTTATCACAGCCCTTTTCGTGATTTTTAAGACAATTAGCACAATTAATTGGTTTACATAATATAAATAAATTGAAAAATAAAAATAGAACAAGAGAATTTTTATTTAGAGTAGCCATTTAATTTTTTCTGAAAAATTTATGTCACAATTCTCACATAATTTTATATACTGTATCATTAGTAGGGATAGGATTTATATTGAAATAAAATCGGAAAATTTGGCCATAAAATATTTAAATAAAATGGCAATATATTGACAAAAAATGCCAAAAATTAGCTAAATATCTAAATAAATGATCGTTTATTCACTAGCAAAACCCCAAGAAAAGTTAACAAAAACAAATTAATCACGTTTATAGCTCGACGAATTGATTATTTTTACTCTCTTGGACATTGTAAACTGGCGAAATATGGATGAGACATTTCATGGGATTTGGTCAATGTGCCATTTTCAGGGATTTTTCAGTGGTTAAAATAGGGTTATCCTGAATAACAAGCTTTTGTGAAAGAATTTTGGAGACATACCAAAGAATAGATATTTCTCTCCAAAATTCCTGATATCCACACCAGGGGTAAGTCATTGCGTTTTGCGTTATATTTTGGCCTTGCGTTGCGTTTTGCGTTTTTTCGATGAAATTAACGCAAAAAAGTAAAAAAATATACCCAATCTTAGGACAAAATTGGAAAAATCTGGGTTCTTGTCTTTCCAAATTTCTCAAAATTTTCCCCTGCGGGCAGAAAAGGGAAGAAATCTAGCTACTTAGACTTCCAAAATTCTTAAAATTTTCGTCTTCGACGCTAAAATAAGATGTATAAAAAGTGGTTAAGGGAAAGATCAGCCCTAATAAACCCTACTTAAAGTAGGGTTTTATGCGTTTGCGTTAAATTTTGGCCTTGCGTTGCGTTTTTTGAGATTGTCTCATTAAAATTGTTAAAATGATAGTGTTTTGCTAAACCTTACCAGCATTTTATAATGCCCATATAAGGCGTAATGTACTGATCTTTAAGAGTAATTCCAATCTACAAACTACTGAGTTTTAAATAAACATAATCTCTATTCAAAAAACACAAACAAAAATTCGAGAATGGTTACCACTTTACCGCAGAGGGTTGAATGAAGCCGTGAAAAAAGGTTAAAAGTATGAGGTAAAAGTTGGCTCTGCGGTGATTGTGGAGGTATATAGTAAAAAAATAAATGCAAACAAAAAGGATTAGGAATTCCCATTTATAATTTTGCAAATAAATTCGTAATATTTTACCTTAACTCACGAGTAATGCAAAATTCAAAAATAAAATTTAATTAAAAAAGATAAAATAAATAAAATAATTTTAGTTAAATTCTGATTATTATAAATTTATACCTAATAATTTTCTTATCTTTTCAATTATTTTGAAATCAGAATATTTTTAATTTTCTAGTGTTTGAACACCAAAACTTCAGAACAACAAAAAACATGTTGATGATAGTAAAGAAGCTGGGCTATAGCTATTTCTCTCCATTAGCTAGTGCAAAAGGCTATTCGGCGGCTGGGAGCGAACTAGCATCATCAGTGGACCATAGCCTTAGGAAATAAATAGCTATTGCTTTACCTGATTTGTAATAATAAACGAGATTCTTTCTAACTTTTTTTTCAACTATCTTCATAATAATGATTAAATAAATTATTTAAATTAATTGCTTTAACTATTTTTATTTTTTTAACACTAAAAAATTTTTTCAAAAAATTTCAAAAATCTTTTATTTTTTTAAAAATTTTTTTCATTCAATCATATTTAATCAAGACAATACTTTATTTATACGAAAATTTTTCGTTTGTTTATTATTTTTTAAATAAACAATAATAATATAGACATTTAATGAACAGACGCTTTTTCGTTATTTAATATGCTTATTTTTTATTCTTTATTGAAGCTTTAATATTATAGATAGTGTCTGGGCAAAGACACGAATTAGATCTAAAATAGCCTTTACGAGATCGAAATTTTTTTGAGATATCGTTCTCGATTCTCGTACGTCCTTTCAGTTATGTATCTAATTTTAAGTAGAGTCTAAACGGTACTACACTACTAACCGTAGCACGAATCTTGCTGACCAGCATTTGAGGATACAGATCGGTTACTGTATCCGGACATTCGAAAATTTTCGAATTTGATATCTTATCCAGATTCAAGATTCCCCAACATCCGTCAACCTTAATCGTAATACTTTTAGAAATGATTTACTATAAGATAACATTTATTTTGCTTTATCCACAATTATTAATTTTCATATCTGCCGAATCTTCTGATAGTTCTTTCAAAAGCCCTGGATGTGAGTAATGGAATTATTTTAAAAATTAGAATATAATTATTTTCACTACTTTTCAATTATAGTCCCCCTCAAATACTGTTTTAAATTTCTTTATCTCTACATATTTTTAAAAATTGCGGATTGCGTAAATTGCGAGGATTTTTGTAAATGCGAGTTGCGGATTGCGTTTGCGAATATTTCGAAAGAAATTGCGAGTTTCGGAATTTTTTTTCAATTGCTTGTTACCCATTTTTAAAGAAAATACGCCTTTTAGTGATATGGAATGTGTCACCCTGAAAGACGTATAAATCAGGGGTGTTTCGAAACATATTCTAAAATTCGCAAAGCAGAAGTGAAACATCTAAAAAGCGAAAATTGAAAAAACGAAAGCGAAACGGCACGCACTTGTGTAAATGATTTGAAACTAAGCGTCTTTACAGTATTTATAAATAAAATTTTTCAGCTTGTAAATGCTTACCAAGTGCTTTAATGGTCAGTCGAGATCAACCATTAAATTTACTCTCACAAGGCTTTTCATTTGGAAATTGTAGCAATCTTAATTGTTTTACACAAATCTCTTTAGAAAATCCACTCAATACAACCGACTATGTGGAATCTCTACAAATTCAATTAAATTCTTTCCAGATTGATTCTAATTTGGAGCCCTTAAGTTTACAAATACCTTTTGGTGATGGAAAGCGTGAGCTTATATTGTAAGTTTAAGCTGAATTTTTGATTAATACAGATAGGCGTGATAATAATCTCTCAATAAGGGATAAGAGCAACGAATGCAAACTTCACAAGAAGCAAAATTCAAAATTTAATATTTCCCACAACCCCTAGTAAAAGTTTAAGTTTTATTATTAATTTATTTATCAGCAAACCACAGTATTTTAAAATACAATTAAAGTGGTGCATAAAAAATACAAATTGAAAAAAAAATATGTGAAATAACAACAAATAAAAACATGAATAAATTTAAAAAAATTAAAAAAAATATATATAAGAAAATTGTCTAAAAAAACTCTCTAAAAAACACACACGCTAGGGTTTGATGTCTTTAGTATTTTACTTTATCATTAGAATACTGTTTAATAAAATTTCTAAATTTTTTCGGATCAGTTATTTTAAATGGCTCATTTGGAATATTATTCCAGTTATTTACTACTCTGTGAAAAAAATTATTTTTTGTTCTATTTGTATAGTTTTTTGTCCTAAGAAGTAGAGGCCTGCGAAGAGATCTATTTGATAAATTAAAATATGTTCGGGAATTAAGAGATGTAAAGCCTTTTATAATTTTAAAGGCGGTGGATAGATCGGCAACCTTTCTTCTATCTATTAACTTTTCGAGTTTACATGTTATTTATCTTTCTTCATATGGAACCTTAATTAAGCCACATTTTTTGTAAAATTTTTAGTGAATAGTTTTTGAATTTTTTCGATTTTCTCTATTTGATATTTTATTTGTGGATTCCATACTTCAGTTGCATATTCTAGCTGGGACCTTATATATGTTTTATATATATTAACGAGGAGATTTAAATCTCTAGATTTAATGATTCTTATTATTTGGAAGCTCTTGAGATATGCGTTTTTTACGGTACACCTCAAGTGAGTCCGCACGATTGAGTCCTCACGATTGAGTCCGCACGATTGAGTCCCCACGATTGAGTCCCGACACGATTGAGTCCCCACGATTGAGTCCGCACGATTGAGTCCCCCTTGTACATATATACCCAATTGAGTCCACATGGATTTAATTATATTAAAAAGGATTAAGAGGGATATCGGGGGATTTGGAGGGATTAAATAGACATCAAGGGACTTGTGCGTGGCACGAGGGATAAGAGGGATATCGGTGGATTTGGAGGGATATACAGGGATTTTAAGTGATTAAAAGGGATATCGGTGGATTAAGGTAGAAATCGAGAGAGTGAGAGAGAGTAAGAGGGATATGTCGACAGTAAATTAGATTGCATGCAAATTCCCACAAAAAGTTCCCCTTCCCCGTGAAAAAAGAAAAAATTTCCCCGTCCCCGCCCCGTGAAAAAAGAAAAAAATTTCCCCTCCCCGCCCCTCGTGAAAAAAAATTTTCCCCGTTCCCGTCACCTACCCCTTGAAAAAAATTTTCCCCGTTCCCGTCACCTACCCCGTGAAAAAAATTTTCTCAGTCCCCGCCCTTTCCCCACGTGAAAAAATTTTTTCCCCGTCCCCTTCCCCTACCCCGTAAAAAAAGAAAAAATTTTCCTTGTCCCCGCCCCCGTGAAAACCCCCCGCCGACGGGGGCCAACCTTATTTGGAATAATTTAAATTAAAAAATGAAATTTTTAAAACTAAATCCACGGGGACTCAATTGAGGTATATACAAGGGGGACTCAATCGTGCGGACTCAATCGTGGGGACTCAATTGTGGCGGGACTCAATCGTGGGGACTCAATCGTGCGGACTCAGTTGAACTGCTCTGCGTTTTTTATAATCATATTTACATGGTTATTAAATGACATTTTTGAATCAATTAATACTCCAAGATCACGAATACATACTGTTTCTTGTACTTTTAATCCATGAATGTTATACTCTCTTTTTAGGTTATTTTTCCCTAAATATAAGGCAAAGCATTTATGCGGGGATATTTCCAAACCATTTAATTCTGTCCATTTTTCAAGTTTACATAAAGCTTTATTAAGTTGATCTCTTTCTATGCCGTTTTTATGAGCTATATATAGTTTTACATCGTCTGCATATAGTTTTACTACAACATTTTCAGGGATTTCATTAGGAAGATCATTTATAAAAATAAGAAATAAAAGTGGTCCTAGGACACTTCCTTGAGGTACACCTGAGAATGTTTCATATTTGTGGGATAATTGGTCACCTATCTTAATCTTGAAATTCCTATCCGATATGAAGTTTTTAAGAAAAGTATAAACTTTTCCACTTATGCCTGCCTTTTCTAATTTATTTAAAAGAATATTTATTTGCACAGTGTCAAATGCCTTAGCAAAGTCGATATAAATAATATCTATGTTATATCCTTCTTGTATTGCGTTATAGAAATCATCCATGGTAGATAATAACTGTGTGGTTGTGGATCACTAAAGGAGGACGAGTGCCGAGCCGATCTTTTGAGTGATATAAGAGTAGAAGGGCTAGTGATTTGGGGGAATAATGAGACATAAGGTGCTTCGTACTGATTAAGGTTTTATCAGGGGATATGCTGGTATATAGGATGATTAGTTGGATTTAAAGTTATTTGGATCGGGAATTCCGCTTCCCTAAAATCGGGAATTGAATTTTTATGTCGCTAGATCCATGATACATATAACATTGCGAAAAATTTGAATTTATTTATATGATTAACATTTAAAATCTATTTATCTCCTAAAGAAAATTAATTCTTTTTAAAGTTTTGAAAGTGTTTTATCAATGTTAAAATTTCTTACAGTTGATTCACCAAAAATATTTTTAAATTTTACTACTAAAGCTGTACAACATGATACTGGATTTAATTTAACAATTAAACGTATTAAAAGAAATAAAGGTAAAAATATTTAAAATGTCAAGAAAAATAAAAAAAAAATTTTTGACTAAAAGAATGTTTATGTCATGGAACCGAAAAAAATTTTAAAATTTTGAGCGAAAAAAATTATTCAGTGCAATTCACGTTTGATGGTGTAAAGTGTCCCTTTATGGAGTGTTATTGGGAAATCCAACCTCCAAAAGTTAGTTAACTCAAATCAGAATTTTAGAGCAAAATACAGTATACATACATTAATATAGGATTCAAAAATCTACCACTACATCAATGTTAAATTAAATCTTTCACATCCCGATGATGGAGATTTCGTTGAGGAGTGTGACAAAAATTTTAGAGAAGGAGCTCGTGGCTGTTCCAGGTATCTTTTTATGTTTAAGGTACCATCCAATCTTCGTTTTGGATGCTAACTAGTGCCCGGAATTTTGTACACTGCTGTATTCTGTACTGTAGTACCAATATGAATGTATCGGTATTTCATACCTATTTAGAAAACTAATTAACAAGAAGATAATAGGGGTATATGGTGGGGATTTGGGGAGATTATTAATATTGAGCAGTAGTGTGCCGTTTCGCATTTTGTCGTTTGATTTTAAATTGACTTTTTATCTTTAAAAAATCCTGATATCGAAAGATTTTTGGGTAGAAAAGAAAAATAGGAGCATTTTGGAGATTAAGAGGGATAGCGGGGTTTGGAGGAATTAAGAGGAATCTATTCCAATTATTATCCAATAAAATAATCCACAGAACAACTTTATACAAAATTTATCTTATTCACAGATATAATTCAAAGAACATTGGTTCTTCTAATGAAATTCTTGTTAATGATGTTTCTAGATTTATTCTCAAACGAGATGCTTCTGTACGCGTTTGGTATCATCGTGAATCTGTAGAAATGATTAAAAATCCGAATATTCCAAGACAATTTAATCTTGCTTATGAGTGGAGAGAAGGTAGTTGATAAATTTTTATTAGATTTGCACCCCGACCCATACCCCGCCCCCGTCTCTGAACAATTTTTAAAATTTCCCCCGATCAGAAACCCGATAATATTTCGTTCCCGCGACCCGAACCCTGCCCTTAAATGATTGGAAAACCCTGTACCCCGATACCAAGCCATCGAGGTTCATGGTGCAACTCTAGTTTTTATCTGAATAAATATCAGAAGACTAACTCTAGTCTAAATTTAAATAATTTATAATTTAAATAAAATATTAGAGCCACATGATTTATTGCCTAAGAAGAGATTCAACGATATATAGAAGTAAACGTGAAACTGGAATTAATAATTGAAGAAAGGAGGCAAAGATTTTTCAAACCTCATGTGATTTTATAAAGAATTTTAATTTCAATTAAAAAAAATACGCATTTCAAATTTTTGATAAACTCAAGTTTATTTTCAGTACCAAATATTACCGAATATTAAAAAAAAAATTTTACAACTACTTGGAGATTAGAGATGTCAGGTCGAGTAAAAATTCGAATCGGGGGTTTCCAGAATTTTCCTACCAGAATTTTCCTGGTAGGTTTCCAGAATTTTTCTGGTAATATTAAAAAATTCTAATAAACAGTGTCATTCCTGCTAGAGACTTTTTTAAAGATCGGAGTTGACAGTAGGGTTGTCGGTTTAACCAAATTTTTTGGTTAACCGAAACCGAACCGACAAACCGAACCGAATTGACAAAACGAACCGAAAATCTTCGGTTCGGTTCGGTTTGAAACCGACAACCCTAATTGAGAGGTTAGATCCTTAGTAGGAAAGTGATTTCTATCCTATTTGAACATTAAAAAAAAGAAAGACATTGATTTTGCTTTTTTAGAGATTTGTTTATACATAAATATTCATTATTTCTTTCAAATAAATAATTTATGCAACTGACTTTTCTTCCTTCTTCCCTATCCCTCCCCCCCCCCCTCCTAGTACAACAAAACACATTTTTACATTTTTCCCATCTCTTTAAACAATGATTCATTTAAAATGTTTATTTGATCTGTATCAAGTCAGCTAAACAAACTAAAGATTTTTTTGAATAAATTTGTGTTCTGGACCAATGCTAAATATTTTACATAAAGTGGAAATATAGAAAGTAAATCTACCCTTAAAATATAGTATTTAGCGATAATTTATTCATTTAATTTTTTAAGCCAAAATAATTTTTTATTCAATCACTCCAAAATAACACTTTTTATGCAAAACATTTTTTTAGTTATTTATTAATTATTTTAATTAATAATAATAGCCACTTAATATCCATTTAATTGGAAAACAATTTTTATACTTTAAATGTTTAATTTTCTGTTAGTCTAGAATAATCAGAACTACTTTAGATAATCAGAATTTCCGCTCAAATTCGTTTGATTAAAAATCAGAATTAAAACAAAATTTAATTCATGTGTAAACTTGAATTTTAAGTTTTTAAGCTAAGTTTTAGTTGTAGACTAAGTTTCAAGGAAACTCTTCAAGTTTTTAATTTTATTCAAGTTTAATTATTCAAGTTCTAAATGTAGAATAAGTACTATTTCTTTCCAAGTTTAAACTTTAATTCAAGCATAAATTTAAGTTTAAAGTTTAATTTATGTTAAAATTTAATTCAAGTTCTGAAATATATTTTTTCAAGTTTCAAGTTTTTGTTTTATTCAATTTAAAATTTTTCTAGTTTAAGAGCCTCTCAGTTAATAAATTCAATTCTTAAGTTTAGTATAAGAAATAATTTTCAAGTTTAAACTTGAAAATAAAGTTTATTAAAAAATTAAGTTTTAAAAGTTAAAATCAGAATTTTGTTTAAATACTTAAAACTTGATTTCTATTTTTATGACAAGTTAAACCATAATTCTGATTTCATTGACCAGAATATACTCTTTAAAAATGCCTTGCTATAATTTGATATTTATTTTTCTCCTTCCACAATTATTTATTTCGATTACTGAAGTCATATCTACTGAAACTAGTGAAAATATTGATAGCAACAATGATTGTTCCTGTCCTACAGAAGAAATTTTTGATAGTAATTGGAGGGAGGGAGTATTCAAAAGCCCTGGATGTGAGTATTGAAATAATTTTAAAATCAGAATAGAAATCAGAATATCAGAACCAGTCAGAGTATTGTGCATTTCTAGACTCCGACTCCGGTTCTGAGCTCCGAGCTTTCAAAATCTTGGTTCCGAGCCGAGCTCCAGAGCAAGCTTCCGGAGCCATACTGATCAGACCATGTCATAGTTATTTTGACTATATTTTCCATTATAGTCCCCGTCGAGTACTGTGATAATCTGGACTGTGGATGGAATATTTTACCCGAAGAAAATACCTTTATCTATGCTGAAGTGGAATTTTTTAGAGTAATGTAATTAATAATTTTAAAATACCAAGTTTCAGACAGAGGCAAAATATGACATTTTGGATGTTTATCAAACAATATGGAATGGTTCAGAGTTGTTGAAATTTAAACGAGTAAGGTCTGAAAATTATTTTTGTTTTAGTCCAAAAATTATTTACTAGTTTAGCCTCAACGGTGAAATTCTTGATAATCCCCCTGATTATCGTTATCTTTCTTCTTCGATTAATGGGGGGCTTTCTTTCCATTTTGTTACAAACGGCATTAATCATAATCACTCTGGGTTTGAAGTTACATTCACTCGAAGATCTGATGATGGGTTTGTTAAACTTTTTTACACGTCTTGCAATGATAGGCTATCACGAATTTATGACCGCCTTAGTAAATACCGTCTCTAATGCCCTCAAAAGCTCGTATAATTATCCCTCTATTAATTAATCCCTTTAGTGAGAATTTAAAACTAATAAACTTAGGAGATATGAAACATTTTATTTAAAAGATTTTTTCAAGCTCATCTCGAAACTTTCCATGTCCACACTCTTTTTATTTTGCAACCAATTCTCTTCAACATCTTCCAGCATTTAAGCTTGGAATCGGAGATGGATGCATCTTTACTATAAATTCTACACAAGCAATAAAGCTCAAAATAGAAAAAATCATCAAAACTCCAAAATTTGACTTAAAGGTCATAATTCTTGATTAACAATGTTCTGATAGATTTTCCCGTAATTTCTTTAATGATATATCGGAATCACCTTTACTTCTCGCAATTTATGGGTTTTTATCAAAATCCCAATTATTTTCTATACTATAACAATTAGTGTTGCCGTTTTCGAGTCGGGCCGGTACGAGTCTTTTTCGGGCCAAAATATAGGCCCGACTTGATCTTTCGGTCCGAGTCGGTCCATTTTGGCAACCCTAATAACAATGATTTGAAATTTTTTAGATTTTTGAAACTGAAAGTTTTCCTAGCCGTTATGAGTATCATCAAGGAGGACAGCTGGCAACGTTTTAAATTTAAAAACTTTAATAAATTAATATATTATTTTTAGAATTATCGGATATTATGATTTTAAATCATATCCTTTAATTGTAACAAGTAGAACTGAATCTGTTAGTATATTAATTAGCTCGTATGATTCAGATGATAATAAACTTCCTTATCAAGTTGAATTTGTTTCTGTGGAAAATGGTAACCTACTGTAAATATCCTTATAAAAGTTCACGCTTCATTAGAAGCCCATTTGCTGACCTATTGTAATATAAGCGCCTAGAGATTCTATTAAATATTTACTAGAGTACGAACTTTTTACATAGCAGGTCTCGGTATCCGGGTTTTTTCTTTTAAAATATAGCTGGGCGGATTGCCGTCTAAAACTTCGATAACGCGAAAAACTCGAAACTGTTTTTTATTCCCGTATCTGAATACAGTTTTTTCAACCTTAAAGTAAACTTAAATTTGAGTTTTTTGCTAGTTTCCTTATTTCAAATATAAAAATCAAAATTTGGGTTACCTTAAATTTCATCCTAAATCCTTTGTCTTGATCAAACGATTTTTATCATAGGATTTAAATGTATTAAAATGGATTAGGCGGGTTTAATTGAAGTTGGACGGTATTTTAAATTGGATACCTGTGTAGTTTACATCCTATAAACTCGCACCTTTTTCCTCTCTTCCTTTTTTGAAAATGACAACAAGCCCCGACATTTTTTTCCGTTTCGTATAAGGTTACGAAAAGTTGGCGAGCTTGGGTCATTTTTAAGGAAAATAAAGTGAAGAAAATGGGCGGGGCTTACTGAGTGTAAACTAAAGTATCTATAATTGTATTTTTATGTTATTTTCAAATAAAGATTTAAATGTTTTTTTTCAGTTTGTGACTGCTTTTCAAATAATTTAGTTATCAATCGTGTTCATCCTTTAAATTTACTCTCACCAGGTTTTCCAATAGGATATTGTGACAAACACAAGTGTTTTACACAAATTTCTTTAATAAGTCCTCACATTACAAGAGAATATGTGGAATGCTTACAAATCCAATTTAATTCTTTCCATACTAAAGTAGATGATCTTTTACATTTAATAATACCTGATGAAAAGAGAGAACTCATATCGTAGGTTTTATGGGTGAGGGGCATAACAAGGATTGCTTGGATAATCGTTAGTTCCGTAGTTCAAGTTCTGGAATTGCAACTAGACTAATTAGTTCCGGAACTGGAACTTTGACATAACTGATTCCGAACCGTATTTAAAAAAATTAATTTATTTAACAGTGATAATTTTTATATACATCTAAATCTGTAGATATAAAGAGGTATATAAGTGAGATAGATTTGGAGGGATATCTTTGCATTTAGAAGGATATCGGCGGATTATCAGTGATTGAGGGGGTTTGAATAGATATGTGAGATTGAGGGGATATTGTTAGATTTGTAGTGATAGGTGGGTTTAGGAAAATCAAATGTTTAAGGTGGATATAAGCAGTGCTTCGAAATTTCAAATTTGCTCGTACTCGTACTCGTACTTCGTACCACCTCTTTTTTTGGCCTCGTACTCGTACTCGTACCTCGTACCACCCCCATTTTTTTGCTCGTACTCGTACTCGTACTCGTACCTCGTACCACCCCCATTTTTTTGCTCGTACTCGTACTCGTACCTCGTACTTACTCGTACTTGAGAAAAAATCAAAAAATCTAAAATTTTTATGATTTTTTGGAGTTCAGGACATCTAGTTTTAAATTTTAAGCGTTGTATGCGATAATTTTTGAATCTTGGAAGGCTTTAAAGCCATAAATCCTCCAATATAATCCATTTTCTCCGACGCAGGCGAAATTTTTGAGCATTTGGAGTGCAAGGAGTAATATTTCCTCCAAGAGGTTATCCGAAACCCGGTATTTTTTCATCGGTTTTTCATTCTCTTCCATGAAACTTTATACCTTTTCACCGAACTTTTCATATTTTTATCTCCTGATATTCCTCTTAAGCTCAAATCCCTTCTGCGCCGCAGGCAAAAATTTTGAGAATTTTGGATATTTTTAAGTCAGATTTTTTCCGTTTTTTTCGCCGCAGTTTTCAAAAATTTGAAGGCCATGAAGCCAGATTTCTTGCATTTTTCTGCGCCGCAGGCGAAAATTTTGAAAATTTCGAAAGGCCGTAGGCGAAAAATGTACTTTTTAGTGTTTTTTAATAATAATAATTTATCTGCCATTCAGGCGTTAAATGTTGAAACAAATATATGTAAATGTAATGTGGTTGAAAACAAATAAAAATAATAAAAGAGCAACAAATAAATGTGTTTAAAACAATCGGATCAACTGGTATAATCTAGAGGATCTAACGTTAATTGAGTCAAGTTAAATGAATCTAATAGTTTAGTAAATTGTATGGGAGTCTGTTTTCTGATATTTTCTGGTAATTTTGAGTATAGGCGAGGCACTCTATAGAAAAATGATTGTAAACGTATTTGAGTATTTGCCCCTGGAAGATAAATTTTAAATGCGTCGCCGCGGGTTTTGGTTTCATGGAAATAAAAGGCGTTATTTAGATTGATTCTGACATATCCATGTATAATTTTGTGGAGAAAATTTAGATCTATTTTTAAGCGCCTGATTTGGAGTGAATCTATTTGGAAAATTTCTAATAATTCGAGGTAGGAAGGGGTAGCTAATCTTGGATGAGATCTTTTGAAAATAATTTTTAAAAATGTTTTCTGTACGGTTTCTATATGTTCTATGTCTTTCTTTAAATATGGATTGAATATAGGGGAGGCAAATTCTATGATTGGTCGGATATATATTTTGTAAAGATTTAATAATATATCTGGATTGTTAGTTTTGAGGGATTTAATTATTGTGAACATTACTTTTTTAGCTTTGGAAACAATGATATTTATGTGGGAATCCCATTTTAAATTGGACTGAAAGTAAACTCCCAGATCACGAATACTATCTTCTTTTTGGATGGAGGAGATAAGTGAATTATAAAGAGAGTATTGTGAGTTCGGGTTCTGACGTCCAATGTGAAGTACTTTGCATTTTTCCGTAGATAGAAATAAGTCGTTTTGTGTTGAGTAAATTTCTAATTTGGAAATAAAATTTTGTAATGTGGAAGAAAAGGAAGGAGATGGTTTTGAGATATAATATGCCTTCAAATCGTCCGCAAAAAGCTTTATTTCTACACCTTTAGTTTTACATTTCTCAGGAAGGTCAGAAATATATAAAATAAAAAGAAGGGGGCCGAGGATAGAACCTTGCGGCACCCCACTAATTATACTCTTGGTATTTGAAAATGATGTTTGTATTTTTACTTTAAATTTTCTGTTAGATAAATAACTGGTAATCCATTTATGAAGTGCCCCAGTAATCCCAAAATTTGTTAGTTTATCTAATAATTTTTTATGTGATATGCTGTCAAAAGCTTTACGATAATCAAAGTAGATGACATCTACTATTTCCTTATTTTCAATGGAATTTGTTAAATCATTAAATGTTTCTAATAATTGACTAGTTACTGATTTGGATGTGCGAAATCCGTGTTGAGAGTCAGGTAAGATATTGTTAGTTTCAATAAATTTTACTAGTTGGGCATAAATTATTTTTTCCATTATTTTACTAATTGGTGACAGTAGGGAAATTGGTCTATAGTCATTAGGTGAGGAAGAGTTAACTATTTTTGGAATAGGAACAATAATTGCTTCCTTCCATTTTTCTGGAAGTTCTGAAGATATAAACGACTTTGAAAAGAGATAATAAAGAGGATATGCTAATGTAGCAGAACATTTCTTTAGAAAGTACTCTGGAATATTATCTGAGGATTCGTTTATTTTATTGGAGAGATTGGAGAGTAATTCGAAGACATTAAGCTCTGAAATATCAATATTGTTAATTTTCTGTTGTGGATTTTTTAATGTTATGTCATAATGGAAGTTCTGTTTGGTTTGGATTTTTTCAATAAATATAGCTATTTGTTCGGCTTTTTCATTATCTTTAAATATGGGATTATTTTCCTCATCGATTAAGGTTGGAATGTTAGTTTTCCTATTCTTTAAGAAATTAGCTACGAAATCATTTTGTTTCTAGTTTAGACATTTTAGAATTTTCTCTATTTCTATAGTATCTCTGGATTTCTATGTCAATTTTTTGTGAGGTTTGATTAATTTTTTCAATTATTTGAGTATTTTGGTATTGGGAGAATAATTTGTCTCTGTTAATAATCATTGATTGGATATGTTTTGGTAATTTTGAAATTAAAGATTTAGATTTTTTTATAGGAGTGTATAAGTGTATGGCAGTTTTTATTATGTTAATAAATGATTGATATTGAGCATCTATTTCAGTTGAATAAGAAAAAACATTATTCCAATCGATATAAGAAAGATATGTATTAATATTGTCATAGTTAGCGTTTTTATAGTCCAATTTTGTTAGAGAGGTTTGTTGTTCTTGAGAAAAACATAATTGAAATTTAAAAGAGAGATGGTCAGATATGTGGTCATTTTGTGAGAAAGGTGGAAGACTTTGAATATTAGTAATAATATGAGGTGTTTTAGAATTTTAGAGAGTCAAAATCTCATAATTACTCCAAGTAAAAATAGAATAATTTTTAAAACAAAATTAAAATTATAAAATACGTTATTTATGAAAAGAAAAATATTAAAAATCCTTGTCCAGTGAATAGGAAACGAACCCACTATTAAATCATTATAGACTTTGGTGCAGCCTGTTGTGTATGGGCGTCAGCCCTTAAAGTGTTTACTATAAAAGCCAGAGAAAACGTCAGTCTATTCGGATCATACTAGCGGGGCTAGTCACTGATCTCCTTCGTCTGTACCATTCCCTTCGCCCACTTATTGTTATTTCTCTTTGTGATAAAGTGTTATTATTGTGCTCGTCGCATTAGTTAAACCTCGGACACATCGGGTCGTAACACAGCCAAGCACCTTCACCACTCGGCCACGCGCCAATATTATTGAGAATGAAAGGAATTAAACATATTTTTTCGATTTTCCTATTAACACCAAGTACGAGAAGTACGAGCTCGTACTTAGGCCTCGTACCTCGTACTTTCCACTTTTTTGGCCTCGTACTCGTACTTCGTACCTGCCTCATTTTTTTGCTCGTACTCGTACTTCGTACCAGGTACGAGTACGAGTACGAGGTACGAGTACGAATTTTGGTACGAGCTTCGAAGCACTGGATATAAGTCGATTTAGAGGGCACTTTAGCATTAAATTTTTTAAGGAAAAAGGAAAGAAATATTTAATTTTCTCCCATTTTCTTTTGTTGTTCGATGGTTGAGTGGTTGTGTGACTGACTTCAATCACTTAGTTATTTTGTTAGTTCTGGTTCGAATCCAGGGGTGGAATTGAGGCTGAAAAATTTTTCTTTTCAAAAATAAATGTCTTTTAATTTTGATTTTGATTTCAAATTTATTTTTTTTTAATATTTTAAACTTGAAAAGACATTAAAAATTTTAATTTAATCATGAATTTTCCAAAATTTTCGCCTGCGGCGCATAAATCCACACTATACATCCTCACTTGCGGTGAGAAAATGGGAGAAATCTGGCTTCACGACCTCCAAAATTCTCAAAATTTTCGCCTGCGGCGCAGAAAATGAATGAAATTGAAGGATTTATAGCTTAAAACCTTAAAAATACAAGAATTATCGTATACGGCCTTAACTATTAGGGGTATCAATGGACTTGTCGGATATCGGAGCTTATTGGGATTTGAAAGGCTATAGAGGCTATATTAAAATTAAGAGGGATATCTGGAAACTTGGAAGGATTAAAGTAAACATAAAGGGACTTGTGAGTGGTATTCGAGGGTTGGGAAGATACCTTTCGATTTGGAGGGATATCGAGATAAATAAGGGGATTCAAAGCGATTAATGGGAATATCAGTGGGTTAAGGTGGATATCGGTAGATTTAGGAGGAGTAAAGTTATATTGTGGATGTGGGGATTCAAGGGATTTGAGGGATTATGAATGATATATAGGGATATAGGATTATAAAGGATATATAGGGGTATATCAAGTGATATCCCTCCTAATCTCTTGGTCTCGACTCTCGGTCTCGACTCTCGGTCTCGACCCGGGACTCGGTCTCGGAGTTGATTCCCGGTCTCGGTTCCCGACTCTAGGCTTTTTTAACTCCCGACCATCACTACTATATATCTAACACTTAAAATTTTTTAAAGTTTTGGAGGCGAAGCACAGAATATAAATTTTTTTACTTTTGATTCGCCAAAATTTAATTTAAATTTTATTACTGATGAAGTGGGTCTTGATACTGGTTTTAATTTATCAATTAGTTATATTCAAAAAAATAAAGGTAAAAAATATTTTAAATTAGGTAAAAGGAAAATAAAAATTCTTAAAAGAATGTTTATGTCATGGAACTGATAACAATTTAAAAATTCTGAATGAAAGGAAGAATTCAGTGGAAAAAAGGTTTTCTGGCGAAAAATGCTCTTTTATGGATTGTTTTTGGGAAATTAAACCTCCAAAGGACTCTCGATTTTACCACCGTCTTATTATTAAATTCAATCATACACTTGCTGATAATAATAAAGAGTTTCTTGATTATTGTTCCAGTAAATCTAACGGAAGAAGTTACGAGTGGCGAAGGTATTTTTATACGAAATAAAGGGTTCATCTAAAAATTGAAACCCTTTGGGTAAAGGAATTTATTTGAAAAGACTTTCTTTGAAAGGAAAAAAGCAGATATCTTGGTAGGGACCTTAGATTAAAGAAGGTTGTGTAAAGCAACTAGCTATTTAATTCCTAAGGCTGTTCAGTAGGCGTATTGGTTAATGGCTAACACATCAGTCCGGTTTATTGAAGAAGCTGGTTCGCTCCTAGCCGCCGATTAATTTTTTGCACTAGCTAAAGGAGAGAAATAGCTATATCACAGCTGCTTTACTGGTGTATAAATTTGGGGAAACCACTCGAGTAGACGACATACGAATTGAACTATATAGAATGAGGGTGCTTTAAGTAGGAGAATTCATTGAAAGGACGAACGAAACTAAAAAAGGACCTAGAAAGGTATATGGGACATTCCCGTTTATTACATTATCAAAATTATATGTCAGAAGAGAAAAATTTATTTTATTTTAAGATCAAGTTCTTGGAGATCAATTGAATTTCCAGTTGGTCATGTTTCTAAGTAACATTAATTTAAAAATTATATTTTTGATATTTTAGATCACCGTATTTTTTGAATCGAGGTGATTCATTATATTTATGGTATCATCGTGAATATTCTCCCTCTGATAAAATTATTGGCAATTCCAATAATCCAAGACATATTAATTTTAATTATGAATGGAGAGAAAGTAACTAATTTTTTATTATTTATCAGAATAAATAACAGAATACATCAGAAAATTAAGTTGATGAATTCTGATTAAAATTGCACTCCAAACTAGAGAACGAACTTGGAGTGTCGTACGAGAATAGAGATTGAGATCTCGAAAAATTCTCGATTCGATAACCGAAATTTTCGATCGAGATCTTGTCTTGGTCCGGTCTCACTCAAACTCTCGGGCGGGCTGTGCCGAGTTACGGGTATTAAAATTGTTTCCGAGCTTTCTTGGAGGTCGGGAGAGTGATCTATGGTCGAGCTATGGACATTTTAAGGAAGAAATTTTTCAAGAAAAAATGTTCAGAAATAAACGTTCTCGTTCTATTTTCTTTAAATTGTTAAGAAATTAAGGAGGATTTGAAGGATTCGGGGTGTGGCTGTAAAATAATCGTTCGGAACGGTTTCGGGGCTCATGGTACAACTCTAGATGTAATAACATATTTGATATTAGAATTCTGGTTTGTTTTTTAGAAATTCAGTTTTATAACCAGAATTTTCTATTCATCATCAGAAATTCTGACATCCAAATTACAAATACTTTTAAAAATCTTAAAAATTTCTTTTTACAATTTTAGAGTGTAAATGTGGCGATGTTCATTTGAAAGCTTACGAAAATGATTGGAATGTTTTATATTCTCCTGATTATCCAGAAACTTATTGCGATTCGATGAGTTGTTTATGGCATTTAGAAGCACCAGAAGGCTATCATATAGTTGTTAATATTTCAGAATTTTACACAGAAATGGATCATGATTTTTTGACAATTTTTGATGGAAAAGATACCGAGCAAGAACATATGGAAATGTTAATTTTTATTTAAGAATTCTGATTATTAAAATCAGAAATTTATTTAAAAAAATCAGAATTCTGATAAAATCTGTATCGTAAATCTTCTAAAATAGTCCCCGGGGCTATTTTTTCGATCGACAGCTAGAGGGAGCTATTTTAGAGGAAATACGGTATATGAAACCTCATAATTATGATTTAATTGCCTATCAGAACAAATTTCAGAATTTCAATTCTGATATAAAAATAGGATTCAGATTTCCAAAAGATAATAACTTTTAAGGCTTTCTGGAAGGATTACATTTAAAAAGACAATACAAAGTATACAAAATATAATGACAATCTCATTCCATTCTGATATTACTCTTCAAATGAGTGGATTTGCATTGTGGTACAAAGCTGGTAAGGTTTTCGGTACATTTCCGTTGTGGCGCCACACATAAAAAATGTTTAAAAGTGAATCAAAATTCTCCTAAAATCGGAAAAAAATATGGACAAAATATATTTCATTCGAAAGACCTCATCGAGCTGAGTCAAATGACACCAAAATTATGTTGGGCTCGAAATAGTACTGAGATCGAATCATCAAAAAATACACTACCATATGTTAACCTTGACCATTTTGAGCGTCTTTATCTCAGCTCAAAATTGAGATCGACTCATAACCCTTTTTAAAGATCTTTAGACGTGGCGCCACAACGGAAAAGTACCAAGTTTTCTTGTAAAATCGATATTAAAATCAGAATTTTATAATTCAGAATTAGATCAGAATATAAGAATTTTATAGATTAAAAATCAGAATTTTATTTTCTTTAAGCAGAATTTTAATTTATAAAACAAAAATATTATTTTTCTAGTCCAAAATGATGATTTTCTTCAAATTCAACAAACTTTTACAGAAGTACCTTCTTCAAATGATTCTCCTCCAAATAATTCATCATCCTCTCACAAATTTATATTATTTTTGTCAATTTTATTTTTAATTATTGGAGTTTTGTTTTTTATTTCTCGTTCCTCCAATTCAACAACAAATAATCGTATTCAAAATATTTTTAGACAATTATGGCCTTCTAGATGGATTAGATTGTTTAATGAAAATGAAGGGGAAGAAAGAGAAGGAGGAGTAAGAAATCAAGTAAATAATTTAAAATCAGAATTTAAAATAATTCTGATTTTACTAAATGCTGGTTTTAAAAGAAAATCAGAATTTTTCTAGTTAGGTTGTGATAGTTGTCTCAAAATTCTGATTTTGAAAGGGCCAGAATTAATAATCAGAATTTTTAAAAATAAGCAGTTTTAACATCAGAATTTTAAAATAATTCTGATTTTCCTAAATTCTGGTTTTAAAAGAAAACCAGAATTCTCGCGTGATCTCAAATATTCTGATTTTGAGAGGATCAGAATTAATAACCAGAATTTTATATATCAGAATATTAAAATCCAGAATAAAACTCTCCTGTAGAATTCTGATTTTAAAATTCAGAAAAAATATTTTAAAAAATCAGAATTTATTTAATTTTTTAGTTATTGGGCAGCTTTACTTCTGTTCGTTTTACTCGCAATATAAATTCTGAACAGCAACAAACAGCTGACAATAATAATTCTTTATCAACTAATAATCCTTCTTATAATGGATAATAATAAAATTTGATTATTTTTTTAAATTTTTAATAATACTATGAGATAAATATTTAATTATTTATTTTTCTGAAATTTATTTTTGTAGACATCAATTAAAAAAATTTTTTTTAATTTTATAAATTTTCGGAATAAAATATTCTGGTCAATTAAAAAATATTTACCTAAAAAATTTAAGGGTGATATCAGGAAATTAAGAGGGATATATCTCGGGTTAATTATGGGGATTAAAAAGGATATCGAAAGATTTTTGGGGATTATGTTAAATCAATTCCATCGCCTTTCAATAAAACATCTCCACATCACAAACTTAATACAAAATTTGTTTTATTCTCAGATATAATTGTTCGAGGTGAGGTTTTTTGAAAAAGCCGAGGCCGAGGATCACCGAGGCTGGAAAAGCCGAGATCGAGGTCGAGGGGTAAATTTTGACCCGAGACCTAGGTTGATGACCGAGGATAACCGAGGTTTTAAAAAAATTTTATAAAACGACAAAATCTAATTAAATTTAACAAATTTTTTCAAAAATCCACTAAATCGTTATCAATTTCATCTTTTTAATCTTATCAGATTCAGTAGGTAGCCCAGGCGTCAGTTTAGATGCGGGCCTTGGGATAATTCTCAGAGAAACCCCAAATTTTTTTAAATCAGTGCCGCAAGCGAAAACCAGATTCTTCCAAAAATCTAAACTTAATCCCAAAGCAATAGGGTAAAAGGATATGAAGTAGTTATCGAAAGCTTAGAGTGGGTCAAAGCATCTCTTGATCCCATTTTCACGCCAAAGTCTTCCTTTTTCAACGCGGCAAGCGAAAATGTTGAGAACATTTTGAGAGGACTTATTTTAGAGATAGGGGTTGACAGGGGGTAGATCCTTCATGTTCAGTCTGGATTATTGCCCAAAAGTTTAGGAGTGTGATTTCTATCTAGTATTTGAACATTTAAAAAAGACATTGATTTGCTCTTTTAGAGATTTGTTTATAAATATTCACTATTTCTTTTAAATAAAATAATTTATGCAACTGACTTTCCTTCCTTCTCCCCTATACACCCCCCCCCCCCTAGTTCAACAAAACACATTTTTCCCATCTTTTTCAATAATGATTTATTAAATGTTTATTCGATCTGTATCAACTAAAAAATTTATTTTTTTGAATAATTTGTGTTCTGGTTCTGGCCACAAAGTGAAAATTTGAAAAGTAAATTCCCCTATACACTCTTATTTAACAATAATTTATTCTTTTATTTAATTTCTAAGCCAAAAGGATAACTACATATTAGAGTTCATCGGTATCTGGATTTTGAGAAAAACCCGGGATCAGGATTTGGGAATGGTGATCCCGATCCCGGATCCCGACACGGAATCGGGGGTTTAAGCTCTAGGTTAAAACTTGAAAAAGAAGTATTTTTCCATTTTTATAAAGTCATAAAATAGCAATTTAAATTCTGATTTCTATTAATAATTCTGATTTTATATTTTTATTGAACAAATTACTCCTTAAAATGCTTTATAATCTAAAACTTATTTTGCTCCTACTAAAATTATTAATTTCCATTAATTTTGCTTCCATCGACAATGATTGTTATTGTCCTATAGAAGCTTTTGATAGTAATGTGAAAGAGGGTGTATTCAAAAGCCCTGGATGTGAGTGTTGGAATAATCTTTTAAAAATCAGAATTATATACCAGTTTTTCTGACTATTTTTTCATTATAGTCCCAGTCAATTACTGTTATTCACTTGATTGTACGTGGCATATTGAACCAGAAGAAAATACCTTCATTTTTGCTAGGTTGGAATCATTTGAGGTGATTCAATTTAATTTATTTTATAATTATAAGTAGAGCCAGAATATTTAGGCACGATAAAGTTAAAAATAGGCGCCTATATAGGCACTAAAAAACTGCCAAAATAGGCACCAAAATCAGAAAAAAGGCAAAATAGGCAGTATTTTTTCGAGATTTTCTGATTTAAATTGATTAAATTTTATCAAAAAAGATAAATCTAAGCAATAAAATGTTAGATAAATTAATTTTGACGATCATAATTACATATAAATTAATTTATATTAATTATTTTGTTTTCAAAAATAATTTGATAAATTTTTCAGAAGAAAATTTTTCCCAAAAAAATTTTTTGACATAAATTTTTTAGAAAAATTTTATATTTTACAAGAAAAAAATTTTTTAGAGAACAATCCGGATTTATACGTTTAAGCATCAGGCCTATCTAGGAAAAAAACAGGCATTTGCCTAAAAACCCTGGCTCTAATTATAAGTTCAGATAGAGAAAGAACATGACGCTTTGGATGTTTATCAAACAAGATGGAATGGGTCAAAGTTAATGAAAGTCAAACAGGCTAGGTCTAATTAGTTATTTTTTAAAATAAAAATCATTTTCTGATTTAGCCTCAGCGGCGAAATATTTGTTAATGTGCCCGCAGAGCATCATTATTTTTCATCTTCAATTAACGGCGGACTTTTTTTCCATTTTATTACAGACATGAGTGTGAATTACCGTGGATTTGAAATTAGTTTTTCCCGAAGATTTGAAAATAAGTTTTTAGTTAAAATGTTGTGCTAATGTAAGGCTTATGTAAATCTATAGCTTTAATTATATGTATAATATGCTATAGCATTAACAAAGGAATTCGTCCTTATCAAACTTCTTTTTATTATTCGGGAACTTGCTATATACATATGTATCAGGGGCGTGCCAGTTTCGCATTTCGCGTGTCGCTTTTTTGAAATAACTTTCGCATTTTGCGTTCGCGTTTCGCTTTTTGCGCGAAATGCGTAAGTTTTATACACCCCTAATGACAAGCGAAAGATGATAAAGTTGGAGAAAAAATGAGCCCGAATAAATTGAAAACCTCCAAAATTCTCAAAATTTTCGCATCTGTCTTCTTGCCCCCTCAAAATTTTCGCCTGCGGCGCAAAAAAGGAAGAATTTGGCTTCTTGGCCCCTCAAAATTCTCAGAATTTTTGCCTGCGGCGCTGAACATGGAAGAACCTTACCATAAGTTTGTCTCTCTATATTCCTCTAGATCCAAAATCACTCAAATCCTCCATATCCTTCGGAATTTACCCAAATACCTAGATAGGTGTCCCTCTTAATCCACCCAAATCCCAAAACGAAAATCCACCAAGATTCCACTTATATTCTACGGAAATTTTTCGAAGTGAGGTACGGACTTCTGAATATCCTGAAATATACAATATAAAATAAAGGATGAACTTGTCTTTGTCTGATATCCCCTCAAATCCCTAGATATCCCGGATCAAAATTACAATCATGATGGGGATTGTAAGACTCAGATGAGGCTTTAATTTGCAACAAAGCACTGGGTTGACAAATCTCTAGAATTTCTCGTCATATCGGAAAAATTTTAAGAATTTCG